TCAGAAGTTAAAAGTCTTCAAAATTATAGAAAAAAATGCAATGGAACAGTAATCTCTTTTCTTTTAGTGTTTTCAGCCCTTTGTCTTTTTTTTTGCTCTTGAAGTCTATGAAAGTAATAAATTTATGCAGCTTCTGTATTTTCTGGATTTCCAACTCTCAAAAATCTGACTTAAGCTCTAAGTAACAATGCTTTTATAGGCAAGCTACTAGGGCAGCCTCAAAGAGTTTAAAATTGCACTTAAAACCTTCTGAAATTTTCATTTTAGCTTAGAAATCCCTAGTGTAAACCTCAGAATTTCAGAATAGTCCCCCACCCCAGCTTCTAGGAAGCTTCCTAGTTCAGTTATATAAGATTCCCAAGCCTAGACTACCCAAATTACCCCTTAATGACCTTGTTATTACCTCTGAAAGCCAGGCCCAAAAATGGGTCAGAATTGGCCCAATAACTCAAACCAATTTGGACGGGCTGCCCTTTGCCAAATGGACCAGAGACAACCCAAAGCCCAAACGAACACTTATCTATTTGAAGAGAAAATCTGCAAGCCATGATAACATGAAATGATTTCAAAGCAAACCGACTTAAATTACTGATCAATTAACATAACTAGGTAGGGAATTAACTAAGTTGAAATAACCTAATTAAACTAACTTGGGTGACTAAACAGAAAGGCAAGATCGGAGAATTAGCCATGCTATTAACACAACGGACTAAAGAGATCAGAAAGCAGGCTTTCACGAAGAAGAGAAAGAAAAAAAACAGTGAACAGAAGACAAATTTAAACTCGAAAGTTTAATCGAGTTTCAACCAGATTAGTATAAGAAAACTAAGCTAAAGAAAGGGGAAGGAGAAAGAGAATAAGACAGTAAAAGAAAGAAAAGACAAGAGAGGAAAGAAGCTTACCAATTTAGAACTCGAAATCTATCGGAGACAAAGGACCTAACAAAACTAATGTCGATCGTTTGTTCTCTATCAAGGACAAACTGAACGACATCAGTTTTGTTGAATCCAAACTTCAAAACTCGAAGAAACAGTGCCCTATGACCATGCATGTACCAGGTCCGATAGAAAAATGATTTTTGAACTTTTAGGGCTCGAACTCAGATTTAGGATTTGAGAAGCTCCGACAAGATTCGAGGGAAACGAAGTGAGGATTTGGCATGAAGGGGTCGTGGTGGCTATGTGGTGTTAATTTGGGGACGATTGGGTGATTTGGAGTTTGGTCTTCCTCTTCGATTCAAGATTCGAAGAGTTCTGTTAAGATTCGAGGGAGGGGTTTTGGAGATTTGGGAAGAGGAGAAGGAGGGGAGTCTATGGCGTTAATTTGGGGTCGATTGGGGTACCGCCGCCGGTGGAGACGATTTCCGGCAGGCGGTTCCGGTGGAGGCGGTGGGGGTCTAGTGAAGGAGATGAGAGGGGGTAGGGGAGCTGTTTGGACACTTATATATTAAGATGAGGTTAGTTCTGGACCGTCCGATTAACTAACCTCGACGGTCGAGATCAAAGGATAACAAAACGATGTCGTTTCGGATGAAAGGGGTAACCGGACCGGGTTGGGGCGCGGGTTTGGGCCGGGTTTCGGGTGGTTTGGACGGGTTTCACATTGGGCCTGGAAAGAATTAACATAAGTAGCCCAAAATCAGCTCCTCTCAATTCTTTCCTTTTCTTATTAATTCATTTTCTTCAAAATTCCTTTCTTTTTCTTCTTCTTTTTTCATAATTAAAATTAAAACCTAAATTAAATCCTAAAACTAAATTAACCTGAAAAATACTAATAAAAATTATCACATTTAATTAAAAATAAACTAAAAGAAAAACTACTCAAAATCCAAGTAAAAATCAAAAGGTGCAAATTAAACTATTTTTGTGATTTTCCCTTTTTATAAAATAATTTAATTACTAAATAATTCTTAAAATGAAAAATTAACTCCTAAATGCACATGCAATGTATTTTTGTATTTTTCAAAATTAACATGCACAGATAAATACAAACAATTAACAAAAATGCTACGAAAAATCTACGAAACTGCAAACAACGGAAAAATTATTTTGTTTTGAATTTGTGGGATTAATTCATATAGGGCAATAATCACGTGCTCACACTAGTTGACTCATTTGAACTTTCACGTTGTGAATAGTTTCTTCTTGCCTTTCTATATGCAGCTGTATTTTACTATGTTGTTCCAAAAGGCACTTTAACATATTTTCGATCTTCTTTAGGTCAGCTTCCCTAGTTTTTTTGTTCCTATTAACTTCACCAGAAAAAGAAGAACCATCAAAGTAAGGGGTTGGGGGAGGATAAGACATATAAGCACAACCATGAAAGTGATCATCTTTACCACCACACATATCACACACATTCCACACATAAGATTGAGTTTGGTGCACAAAACTCGCGCTCGGAAATATTTTGATAATTTTGCCCTGGGTGGTTTCCTTCATAATATACATAAGTAGGATTAAAAGTAGAATTACTAACATCAAAATTCTCATAATTCCATGATGCCATGTTTCTCAAATAAAACTAAAATTAAAAAAAAATTAAAAAAAAATCAAATACTAAAAAATAAAATAAAAGTTCAAACTTGAAACCTAGCAATATGTACACCTATAACTACACCGTTAGTTCTCTGGCAACGGCGCCAAAATTTGTTTACACCCAACTATGCCTTATAAAAAGGACTAAGTGGTCATTGCAAATATAATCCGGTTTACAAGTCCGGAGTCGAATTCCACAAAGAACTAAGGCTTAGCTACAGTTGTTCACTATCACCAAGAAGACAAGCTTGAACAATTCCTAACTTATAGATATTAAGATTCTTGTATTTAACCAATTAACTAACAAATTAAAATAGTAAATTAACAACTAAAGATACTAAGGGTTAGAGACAAAATTAAGGAGGTCTAGAGTTATGATTTCCCCTATTGTCGGAATCCTTCCCGCTATATTTTCTATAAATTCGCCTAAGTATTCTCTATCGATCATGAGCGCTCAGACTGTCGTATCTCTCTCATGAGTAATTACTATAATTTACTAGACATATTCTCCCGAATTACGCTAGCTGACATTAAGTACGGCTCACTCGGATCACACCAAAGGTTTCGTTATCCCTAATCCCAACTTTAAACCCTTCGTATTGATCCCTCATATACGTTAGGAGTGATGTTGTTCAACAACTACCTAAATATGCACTCTCTCCCGAGTAATATACACTAAATAGGCACAATCGATTGAGAGCTCTTCAACCAACCACAATAATAACGTAGTTGAACAAATAGATAAAATACTATAGCAAATCTATATTAACGTAACAGGAAATCATCCTCCAATAGGTTCCATCACAACCCTAGATAACAAATTAGCTATTCATAATAGTATGCATAACTACAATACTAGAATTCATAACCAATAATGAAAATAGGAAGAAGGAAGTGAAAACTCGTAGAAGTCTCTGTCTTGCTCCTAGTGTATTCTTGCCTCCTTAGGTCTAAATTATGTCAAAAGTATGTCCCCTCTCCTCAAAATAGCTTTTTTACATGTATTTATACCAAGTAGGGTCGGACCCAGACGAAAATATCTTCTCCCGCGCGAAATAGGACTCTGGCTCTGTAAAATTTGCATAGGCACACCGCACGCTGCGATGCACTGTGCGGCACGGTAGTGGGAAAATTCAGAGAGCTATTTTCTGGCAGACTGTTGGAAAATTGCACAGATACAACGCGCGCTGTGATGCACTGTGCGGCGCGATAGTGGGAATTCGCAAAAATGCAAAACATGAAAATTGTAAGCCCTTTCGAATAGCTTTCCAACGATATATTGTGAAGCCCAAACGGAGTTCTGAGAAAAAAGTTATGTGTATTTTACTAGACAATGCACCCGCTCGATTCTTCGTTTCGTTTTTAACTATCATCCGTTGATTTCCGAACACAATCCCGGCTTAATTCCTTGGGTTTTACTCAGACTTCAAAGCTCTAAATCACTTGAATTCATTCCATAAACGCCTACATAGATCGAAATCACTCATACAAGGCATAAAACACATAATTAGTGCAAAACACTAGCAATTAAAGCTCAAACTCAATTAAAGTGCAGTACATTAGAGTGTAATAAGCGACTAAAATACGTAATCATAGCCTATCACCAGGGACTATCTGTATGGGGTAAAATTGCTTTATAACAAATGATCGAATGATAACATGACACGTGGAACCGAAGATAGGCAAATGGCAAGTTAGGGAATACCCAATACCGAAGACAACGAATGTAATCGATATCGGATAAATCTCGAAGGGAGCGTAGTTGATGGGTGGAGATCAAGGGTTTGTCATCAGATTGCGTTCAATAAGGGAATATTTACTAACATAAAATGAGCGACCGTTGCAGAGAATATTTGCATCCATGGTCTGCCGTTACACGTTCATCAATGACTCTTTTATTATCATTAAATAGGAGCTTGTTCCTAAGATCTTGTTTCCCTAGGTAAAGCTATAAATAGCAGGCTCAACATCCATTGTAAGGACATGAAACATTCTATACAAAAAGGCTATATTTTACTATTTGGCTCTGAAACTAGTAGCTTTCTTTCACTTTGTCATTATCTCTATTTGTGCTCTCGGAGATGCCGCGTTCGGAGCCATGCTGATCATCTTCTTCAAATTCAATTGCTAATCTTAATATTAATCTTATTTCCTTATCATTTTTGGATCAAATCAATTTGCTTATCTATAAACCATGCAACAAATTTAACTGTACCATTTTACGGCTAAATAAATTTAATCTTAATTCTTAATACATATATTAATATTTAGATGTGTATTCAGATTTTAGATATTTTAATCTTAATAAAAATAAAAGAGGCCTTAGATCTTTTTCTCGTTTTAGATGGGAACAAAATATATACACAAACCTTAAATTAGCCTATTCGTGCAAAATGACTCACTAGTCGAGTCCAATCCCGAATGATGCAACGATATAGGACTAGTTCTCATTACCCCATCCACTAGGTGAATCCAGGCCCCACCTTAAACTTCTAATTTTCTCTCTCTAATATAAACCGTTTCGATAAACCCCTCCTCCTTTTATTCTTTCTGGATCCCTTTTGGTTGGGTGCAAAGGGGGGAAAGGAATGGCGATTGTGGCGGAAGGTGGTAAGGAGTTGGAGACGTGCGTGGTATTAGGGGGACGAGGATTCGTCGGGAAATGGCTTGTGGATAGGCTTCTTCGAATCGGCAATTGGATCGTCCGAATCGCCGATTCTTTGCCCAGTCTTCAACTTGAACCCTCCGAGTCCCTTCTTTCTCATGCCCTCTCTTCTGGCCGCGCTTCCTATTTCCATGTCGATATTCTTCATAAATCTCATATTATTCCAGGTACCAACTCCCACTCCCTATCTATGTTTTTTAATTTTTTGTTATACATACATCTAGAGAATGCGTATGGTCTGTGTATGCGCTCTCTCTAAGATTATCGAGAAAGGGGTTTATCTCAAATCCGATTCCTGACGTCAATTCTCAAGATGCATTTATCTTATATGTTTCCTACGAATACGAAATGTCTTCTTCTTTTCTAGCAGCCCCAGTGCTTTTATAGCGTATATTGTTTACTGATCTGAAAACAGTACCATGGAATTTTTTCCCTTTCATGAAGATAGTGATTGTGTCCTCCAGTTACTGGGCTCGTTCTCATTCGTCATTGACTTATTTCTCCCTTGACTTGCTTCCCTATAGGAAGTGTTTATTCTCCTTTAAGGAGATTTGGTTCCACAGGAAGGGAATTAAAAAGACATATATCTCTTACAGCTTGTTTGGATGGTTGTTACATATCGTTTCATAATGTATGTATTGTATTGTATTGTACTGTATCGTTTGATGAATACAATGTTTGGATGGATTGTGTCGTTTTGCCGTCGTTTCATGGTATCATGCACCAGTAATATGATGAATAAACTTGCAATATTATAAAGAAAAATTATGAGATGGTATATAAAAAGGTAGGGTAAATGATAAAATAAAATTATTTAATAATAATAAAGGGTGAGATTGAGAGAAAAACACAAGGAAACGATGCGACCACACCAAATCGGTCGTTACATAAAGTGGCACATTTCATCGTTACGTAACGACAGATTTAACGATACGATACAATAAAATTTAAGTAACAATCAAAACAAACATTGTATTTAAAGTAACAATACGATGCGATACAATTGGTAACAACCATCCAAACAAGCTGTTAACTTTCTTTTCTCAACCAAACAACTAAACAAGGGAAAAAAGCAACCGGCCCCTTCTAGTCGGCCTCATGCTATTCCTTGACCTTTCAGTGCTTTCACCCTTAAGACATGCAGCGGTACTCTGCTTTAGTCAATCTGCTTATGGCGTTTGATTGAGTCTTTGACATGTCTTTATCTATATTTCTGACTTTGCTTATTGTAGTTTAAACAGGTTCTAGAGTCTCTTCCTTTATCTGTATCTTCCTGGAAAATTGTGTTTTTCCACTATAATAAAGTTGGGCTTAATTTTACCTCATCATATTCTCCTATGCAGCTATTGATGGCGCATCAGTTGTATTTTACATGGATTCTAGGGATTCATATGCTCATGATTTCTATATTTGCTACACAATTGTTGTTCAAGGTAATTTTTCATCAAGAGGCCATTTAAGTGCATTACACACTTTTGCTATATTAATCTTTTGCATCCTAATTGTGAATGAAATGTTATGTCATTCAGGTGCCAAGAATATCATTACTGCTTGTCAAGAGTGTAAAGTCAAAAGGCTAGTATACAACAGTTCTGCTGAGGTAGTTTTGAACAGCTGGCAGGATATACATGGCGGGGATGAGTCCTTACCATATTCCAGTAAAGTAAGTCTCTTATCAGCAGCTTGTTTAACTAGAATTTGGAAATTTATTAGGCCTCATTCTTGCCAACCCTCTTCCACGTTTTTTGAGCCATCACGCTCTAATGTTCCTCATTTCTTCTCTTCATTTTGATGCTTGCTCGATGCAGTTTGTGAACATGGTAACTGATCTCAAGGCTCAAGCAGAGGCTCTAGTTTTAGTTGCAAATGATGCTGACGGCCTTCTTACTTGTGCAATTCGTCCTAGCTATGTTTTTGGACCTGAAGACAATTATCTCTCCTCTTTGCTGGTCAATGTTGCAAAATCTGGCTGGGCCAAGGTTGGAAGCCTTTTGTTACTTTGCACTTCCTGTTGTGTTAAAAGTATCAATCAATTATGTTCGTTCTTTTTTGCTAAGCCTGTGTAAATGTGATGTACTAGACCTAAGCTCTCTGTTGTTGCATCAGCATCCACCAAAATTCTTGCTAAACTTGTTCCATGCTTCGAATCTATAAGAAACTTTTCTTTCTCTACTCTTTGTTGCTGGTGACACCTTGGGATGTATGTCAAATAAAAGAGGAAAAAGATCATAGACTTTTCTATCTTCACAAAATTAGTTGTCATGTGGGCATAGTTTTCTAATTTAAATTTTTTTAACCGTGTTTAGTCTTTGTATACATCCTTTTTGAATAAGTAATAGACATTCTCATTTCAGTTTATTATAGGGCTTGGTGACAATACGTCTGATTTCACCTATGTGGAGAATGTTGCCCATGCACATATATGTGCTGAAAAAGCTCTACGTTCTAGGGGAAGTAACATATGTGGCAAGGTACAGATTTGGAGTTCTCTTTATTCAGCGATTCCTTTTGATGGTGGTTCATTTATTTACAGACAGTGCGATGCCATGTATTGTAGGCCTTTTTCATCACTAATCTCAAGCCAATGAAATTCAAGGATTTTGTATCTCTTGTGATGGAGAGATTGGGATATCAAAGGTAAGATAGCTGACAAATTATTCTTGTACGTCTATCTTTGTTGATGACTATCGCAAACACATGAAATTTGTTGAATGATTTTTCCAAATATGTGTAGATTAGGTGAATTCTCCTGTCCTGAGTATTGTGGTTGCCACTCATTGCAAAACTCTACCTCCCATCATGATTGACATCCTAGCTTAAACAAGTTCATCAAGTGCTAGTGAATTTTCTTTCTTGTTATCTTTTAATATTTTTACGTTTTGTGGAGGCTATCAAACTTTAATCCAGTCATTATCTTCATCTTCGGTCGATATGAAGAATGCAATTGTGTTGCTACGTGAGTAAAGATTGGCATGAAGAAGAGTCCTTGTACAAGTTATTTGGCTAGAGAATTTTCTGATGATGGTATCTTATTTTATTGCCTCATTTTCCTTTGATGAAAAGGGTAACTTTAGTCAATCTTCTCTCTCTCTCTCTTTCTTTGTGATCATGGCGATGTAGGGTCAATTTGAGCGCGCCTTGACTATTACATCGGGTACCTACGTTTTCCCACCAATACAGGGTCTGCCCACCAACGCTGGGCAAAGTTAAGCAAATGGGGAGAAATCACCGAGCTGTTTTGTCCTAATGAAGTCTATTTCCATTTAGTTCTCTTTTTTGTCCATTTTTTTTACACGTTATTCTTCTCCCATTTTCTTGAAACACTTACCCTTTTCCCATGTATTGCCTTCTTCATCACTACCTATTGCATATACTGCGAGTACTTGGATAAATGTTTTTGTTAAGCTGTCTATTTGGTGACTTTCTTGCTAGTCATAGTCTATTGTTTTCATTCTTGGCTTACATTTTTGCTTTGGTTGATTTTGTAGCTTTGCTCCTTCCCTTCCATTATGGATTTTTCAATATGGCTTCCTGAAAGAGAATTGGTGCTTTCTGATTCCAGGTCCATGATCAAGATTCCTGCTAGGGTTGTCCAATATTGTACTTTGATCATGAAATGGACAATTTCAAGGATGAGCAATTGGAATCCTGATAATGTGCCAGCTTTTGATATTATTGAATTAGCATTGTGCCATAGGAGATTTAATTGCTTTGCAGCTCAGAAATATATTGGATATTCTCCTGTTGTTTCCCTTGAAGTACGTCTGCTCCTCCAATTATTTTTCTTATTAGCTGTGAATTATGCCTAAACAACTACTCTCTCTGTGTCTAATTGTTTAGCAGGCACTCAAATTGTGTTTCTTCGATTATGGGATTTTCAAATAAAATAAATTTATGCTTAACTCTGAATATTTTTGATCTTGTAGTACTTATCCAAATTTGTAGATGTTATTTTCAAAAAAATAGAAAGAAATGTATATCTGAATCCACACCGAGAATTAGATTAGTTGACTGTTGTTCTCCGAACTTTGCATTTTTGTGGGATGACGAAGTATTATTTCACTGGCAAATGTTTTATATCGACGGAATGGTAAATGCAGTAAATAGCCACGTGTATATGGATCTATTGAACTTTAGCTTACTTGCTGGCATTTTATTTAAGCTTAAAGGAGAAGATGAAGTATCTTTTTCCAGAACACAAGCATCCTAGTTGCCCCAGTTTCCTAGTGATATGCAGAAAAGTTCCGTGTTATGGTAAATCAGGTTATCCCTGATGTTCTGATAAAGACACGCTTTATGCATTGTGAATCTCTCTGATTAAATACCTGTGCTTTAATCACACTTGATCCATGTTGGATGTTTCCTGTACCCTTCTAAGAAGTTTCACTATTCTTTAAGTTGCCCTAGTTTGCTGATAGGTAAGCTGATTTTGTTGTGCGTAAGTTGCCTAATGTTGTTGGTCTGTGCTGAATATATGGTTAAGATTTTGGGAAGCTTCGTTTTAAGCGAAGTTTGCTATAGATCTTATACTATTTTTTATAGACATGACTCAATTGCTTATTATGGACGTGAAACTCTGATACAGGAAGGAGTTGCTTTAACCACTAAGTCCTTTCATTCAGCCAGGGAATCATCTTTGTCAAGCGATAGTGACACTGATGAGGAATCAAACGTGCATAAACTGCTAGGAGGTGGAAAAGGTTGGTATGTTTCCTTGTGACATTTCTTGCCTTGCAGAATTGCTGTTTTCTAGTTTCACAAGTTATGCACTTGCTTTTATGAGCTATTGATATTGCAAATAAAACTTGTGATAGTGGATTCTGTGCTTTAAGAGGAAATACCAAATCTGACCCTTTAGGCATTTGTCCTCACCCTAACACCTCTATTATTTTGTCTTGAACTGGTAGAGAGAACTGACTTGTCGTGGTTTTCTTGAAGGCCCAGTTTCCAGCGCTTTTTCTCAGCAAAAAATTATTGTGTTTGACCACAAGAGACATGCCTGAACGTGGTGTTTTGACCCAATTCTGGTGGTCTTCTGAGACTGAATTTGAGCTTGCATATGTAGAATTTGTTTCTGGGTACAGTTTTTAGCACATTACAGAAACTTCCTTGGCGACCCAAATGAATCTCAAGATCGATTCAGTATCTATTAGAAAATTTTGAATATCCTCAAGATTCTAATAGGTCAATTATCATTGTTGTTACTGATGCTTCTTTTTTGGTGGGGGTGGGGGTGGGGGGGTGTTGCCTAGTTGGTAAAGCTCCTTTGATGCCAGTCTGATTCTACTTCTACCTTTTATTCTATATCTGCCAAATTGATGATATGAAATCACAATTCTTCATTGCATCATCTTGCTTACCTTTAATATTATCATGTTAGTGCAGCTGCCGAAATTTTATTGTGGAGAGATGAGCAGAGAACATTTACTTGTTTCCTTTTGCTGGTTTTCATCCATTACTGGTTCTTCCTGTCTGGGAGGAGTTTTCTTTCATCTCTTGCCCAGCTTCTACTGATGATCGCTTCTGCTCTCTGGGGATACAGCATTCTGCCACCAACAATGTAAGCATGCCACTGAATGTACTATGTTTAAATGGTTTAAAGAGACGACTGCCCTAAAAGAAATATTTGGCAAGACAATCCAGCGATATCTTTCTCAAGGAGATGAAATTTGGTTATACTGTTTTGTTTTCAGGGGCAACTGGATATTAATGCATATTCTTAAAACGTGCCATGTGAGCCCTAATGCGAACCTTAATGCATGGAAGTTTTAAAAATAATAGGATCATAAAGTGACGTTTTAGATATATATGCAACTAAAGTCTGCTTCCCTGAACGCCGCCGACGTGAAGTAAAAGAAAAGGTGAAAAGAACTGATTGATTATGTTTCATCCTGTTGTAAGAGTGAACCGGAACACAAACCCTTTAGCATTTCTTTTATCTACTGGTCCAACTTCTTTCCTTTTAAGGCTTCTCCAGCTTTGTTATTTCCGTCAACTCAATCAGCTACAAGGAATAATATGTGAAAGTTCAATGGGAATTTATTTGCCTGTATTGGCCCTCTCTCTTTGTAGCTTTTGTTGCGTGATGATCTATGTTTTCCTCTATTTGTAAGATCTCATTGTTTAAATAATCTATTTCTGATTGGGAGCTTTTGATGATTGATAACATTATTTCTTAATGAACTTTTCTGCTTGCCGCTATTCTATTAGGATTTCAGTATTTTTTTATGCATGGAATTGCTTGTATTCCCCAATAATGATGTCTTTGCTCCAGATATGGCATTGCAGTTCCCAGGATATCGTGGTCTTTCTTTGAGATCTCTGAAGTGGATATGAGAAATTGCTTTTACAACTTAGCATATACGTGGAACAGAATGAGTCATTTAGCAAGTTTACTAGCCCAAGGAGAAGACTGGTCTATATTTTTGAAGGTGTGTGCTTTGAGTTCGTGTTCTTCCTTCCCTTCTTTTTTCTCATTCTGAATTGAGTTAGAGATGATAGGTGGCGTTTGTCTGAAGTTTTCCAACTCGGTTTTTGAGTTTCCCAGAAAGTGTTTGAGCTGTTTTTGAAAATAAAAAGGTCAACCTTTTTTGGATGATTTCCAAACTCTATTTTTCAAATCTTTCTGAAACTTCAAAAGCTAGTTTTTGAACGATTTGGAAATCTTCAGAAAAAAGCCTCTTTTGGTAAAAACTGGTCAAACGAGGGGAAAAAGCAAATGAATTTAAGCTATTGAATGTGTGCCAAAGAAACGAATAGTAGGCAATAGGTTTAGCAGATGAAATAGCAAGAAGGGCGAAACAGTTGCCTTTAGAAAGGAGATGCACGGACAGATAATGTGGTGATAAATGAATCTGATTTTGAAATAGATATGGACCTCATCTATTTGATGATTAATCAGAATTAACATTTAGTTACAATGGTTGTCAAATGGGTCAGACAGCAAATAGAATTTTTAGTCAGTCCTTGACTCTATGGTTTAGGCTGTTGTTACACCAAATTTTTTCTTATTTTGCAGGCCGCCATACCCCTGTATTGTTTGAAGTTGATAATTGCAGATTGCTTGACTTTTGCACTTGGTATAGGTATGTGTTATTCAACATTTTCACGCTTAATGGTGCATTAAAGTCCATTAGTTTATTTGACATGATTCGAACCAACGCAGCACTAGCTCTGGCATTCACTTCATTCCTCATTTACGAGCAGTACGAGGATGAAATTGATAGTACGGCAAATGTAATATTCAGCATATCAAAAGGTGCCTTTACTTTGCTGATGAGGAGCTTACGCTTGCCTTTGGCATTGATCCATTCTGATTCAGAAATGCCTCGAGGGATCTGCTCTTCTAGATTGAAGATTCAGCAATGAGAAGGTATCCTAGTGCTTTACTCAGTCCTAACAATAGACAGAGGGAGAGTGGTGTATATCTGCCTGGTTCGCTTTCCTTATTTTGGATGTGTGACCTCTTGTACCAGACGTTTGTTAACTCAATATGAGAAGGGTCGTTGGTCTATATCTTCTCGAGAAACTAAACTCCCTCACCCCCTCATTCCCATACCCTTGTACTGGAGCTACGGAAAAAAACTTGGAAGTTAAAAAGAAAAGAATGAAGATACCCCCCTACAATTGAGAACAGAGTTTGCTCATTTTGGCTGTAATAGATTCCAAATGATGATAACATAGTGGATCAGTTGCTTGGATATAAATTGTGCTTATGCTTGCCAAGTTCTTGCTGTTGTGTGTATTACAACCTCCTAATTGTGTTACACCTGAAGAAACAATGATCAATGTGATTACAAACTATTTTAAACTCCTTTAGTATGTTCTTTTCTTTGTTTTATGTTTGTTGTTTTAATTGTAATTTTAATTCTCTAAGACAATGGAAAGTTCGGCTTAAAGATGGCTAATGTAAGAGTTAAACATAGATGCCCCAGCCGTGATGGCATAATGCTTAATGCTTAGCTTTTTTAGGTTTCCCAAGGACCGTTTATAGGGATCATGAGTGATGTAACAAAACCAACTATCCAAAGTTCAATCAAGCTACAGCTATTGTACGTTAACTCTACCCTTTTTGTCTCTTTTTCCTTTTCAAAGAAAAAAAAAAAGAAAAGGAACTTTTATCCAACTAACAACCCATTGATCACTGGCATTCTTCAACGTTGGCCTTATGGAACTTTTAATGCTATTTGGAGTAATTTTTATTGATGCTTTTGTTGGTTGATGATTCGCAGACCAGGTGCATTTCGCATAGCCCTTAGTAGGGCCCTCTAAGGGGAGGGTATTACCCGTACCGATACCGGTCCATACCGGTACCGCACCATACCAGTCCGGATTGGGGGTAGGGGTGAGGGTAATGGATGGGTACCAGGAAGAAAATACCCTTAGTAGCCGTAGATGCGGATCTAGGATTTGAAGGTAGTGGGTGTCACGATGTTTTTAATGTACACCTTGTAATAACTAATATAGAGTTTGTTCAGAACGTTTGTTCGAATCATTTTTTTTTATTTTATTCGGGCAATTTAATCGGCGTTTTTTATTTGCAAATATGAAAATTACATCTCTTTCCTAGGCCCTACTTGTGGGATTCACCGAGTATGTTGTTATATAAAGGAAAATTTTATTTTGTGTCTCATACAATTAAACTAGTTGTATGAGACAACTTTTTTGTCTCACAATTTTATGGGCCTAGATTTTTGTGGACCCAGAAGTGTAAGATTGGGGTCCACAAATTTGTGAGACAAAAATGAGCCTCATGCAACCAGTGTCAGTTGTATGAGACACAAAATAAAACTTCTCTTAATAATATAAGTAAAATCAATGTTTTTACTGGGGAACTACATATTTTTTGTATGCTAAAAATGAATTTGCACAAGTAAAATAAGACCTTGTCGAGAAATGAATTTGCACAAGTAAAATAAGACATTGGTACTATTTTTTTTTGGTAATTTGACACTCAAAAACACTTTTTAGAAAGATTGGCCAAACACAATTTGTTTACCAAATGTTGTAAAAAGTATTGTTAAATGAATGGCCAAACACAAACTATTTTTTTTCAAAAGTACATTTGGAAAAAGCACTTCGGAAAAAAAGTACTATTCAAAATAAGCATATTTTGACAGCTTGGCCAAACATGCATCATCTTGCAAATCCTGCTCTGATCATGTAAAAATAGTACGGGCTAGCCAGTTTTCGGACTGGTCATTCAAAAATAGCCAGCGTTTGCAAAGTCATTGAAAAATAGTCACTATTTTGCTGCAACACGGAAAGTTCCAGCATAATTTACTGGAGATCGGTGCACCCGTGTATGAACTTCCAGCATATTATGCTGGAACTCCAACACGCTGAAAGTTCCAATATAATATACTGGAGTTCCAGTATACTTATGCTGGAACTCCAGTATATCAAATATATTAGACTGGAATTCTAGTTTATTATACTGGAGTATTTTTTCGGATTTTGAACAATGTTTTCGTTCAGATTTATCTTTAAATGAAAAGTGGCTAAATTTTAATTAGACAGAATAGCCTAAATGACACTTATACTTATGCCGCTTTGTCATCCCGGTCCCCAAACTTAATGAAGTTTTATCTAGACACCTCTACTCGTTCAAACGTAATATTCTAAACTCTTCTGACTGTGATGTTCCTCAATCGTCTCACTTTATTATCCACGTCAGATAAAAATATTCCACGTCAATATTTTTATTCACAAAAACTATTTTTGGAAAAGAAAAAGTTGAACCCTAAAGTTTTCTCTCACAAACACTTTCATGCCTTTCTCTCTCTGAAAATCAGCCATTAGCAGGGACTGAGTTCCCTTGATTTAAGAAATGCAGGTGGGAAGTTGCAATTTAAGAGGATTGAGGGAATCAAACCCAGATGACAAGTTCCGGAGGAGCACACCGAAAGAAGAAGAGGCAAAAACATTTGCTGAATCAAAAGAATCAGGGCCAAGATTAGCCCACTTGAGCTTCCATGCCCATCCCACCAACACCCCAACAAGAACAACAATCCATATGAGCCCCACAAACATCACTAGCTCTAACAATACCTTCCCAAAATTAAGTCTTTCTAAAATCTCAAGCAAAGCCGCTACCAAAGCCATAATAACAAGCAAATAATGAAAAAGATACAATCCCCATATCACCTTTGAGCACAGCAAGAGTCGGGGGTTTCAAAAAAGAAGGAAAAGATGAGAGGAGAAAGGGGTAGAAGGAAAAGAAAACTGGAGAGGCAAAAGAAGATTGTTGTGTGTGCCCGNAAACTTTTACTTGCTTCTTAAAGCGTGTAGTCACGCATTTTATCCAACTCAGCAAAGCAAATACCACATAGGCTTGGTCAATGGTCAGACGGGCTTCAAATATTACGTTTGAACGAGTAGAGATGTCTAGATGAAACTTCATTAAGTATGGGGACCAGGATGACAAAGTGTCACAAGTATAAGTGCCATTTAGGCTATTCTGCTTTTTAATTACTTTTGAAATTGTGGCTATTTTTGAATGACCACTTATAAATCTAACTATTTTTGAACTTCTCCCTCTCATCGTTGATGGCTTAGAGAAAATTCCATGACGCTATTACCAACCATATCCCAATGCCACCTAAGGTATTACTCCTTCCTCCTACTTTGTGTCACTATTATATTATTATTAAATATTTCTTAATTATAAAAGGTTGTAATCACGATATCTTATCTAGTTTCTAGACGTATAAATAAATTTCCATGACGCTATTACCCAACCATATGCCAATTTTGTATCACTATTATATTAGTATTATGAGAGTTTACCAATCTTTTTATTTATTTATTAAATATTTTTTAATTATAAAAGGTTGTAATTACAATATCTTGTCTAGTTTCTAGACGTATAATTTTTATTCTAAAAAGATAAGAAATCAATGTCTAAATTGAGGCTGAAACTGAAAATTGCGCCCTTACTGTTTGATTATGAATAAGATAATATGGGTTGCACCATGTAAAAATAAGTCTGATGCACAAGAAATGACACCGTATATCCTTTTTAATCCAATGGCCACGCAGAGCAGAGATTATCTTTGATATCCTACAAGACTGCTATATATGGGCTTAACCGTTGCCCTAAACAGAATTACCAGATAATGATTACTCCCTCTTCCTTCAACAATGCATATACAACTGTAAGCAACCCTTTGACCGACACATTGCATTGATAAGCAAAATTCTGAACAATTGAATGATACAAGCAAACCTTGTGAGCAATTTAATAGGATAGGTAGAATGAAGATAGTGTTGGAATTTTTGTTTAACCAGAAAATTGAAATTTCGATCAAAACTCATGGGTTACTGATAATCAAAAAAAGAATATTTTTGCAATGAAAAAGGAAAATTAGAGTATGAAATAGCAAAATAATCAATATAAAGCAAAAGTAAATAAATGTATTCCAGTAATAATCAGAACGTATCCATACAAATGACATTTCTCTTCCTTTTATAGCTATTCCTAAGTACAACGTCTTTTTCCCCTTGTGATCGAATCATTATGAGCAATTAATAACAATAATGAAACGTAATAATTAGCAATCGTAACTGTTTCGTGAAGATTCTGTAACGTTTCTAATCATTCATGCTCATTAATTCAACGAATCTGTACGTTTTGCTGTCTTATTCATTCCACATGTGTCTCTTCAAATTACTAAAAGACTCGAGCAACCGTTTCTTCTTGTCTCTTAGACGTTTTGCTCGTACCTATTAAGACTCACTTCTCTTTAAGTGCTCTTCTCCAGCTATCACTTTTCTAATGATCCACGTGTCTTGCCATGTCAGCCACATAATTAATTCCACGTGTAATATTTATTTTTACCAATACAATTTGGACTTGCGTTAATTGGTTATAACCTGAAAGGATAGTGTCGTGGCCCAACTGGTGGATAAATAAAAGGCCTAATATAAAATATTATGTGTGTGGATAAGTGAGACCCAATAACAATTGGCATGTGATGGGTAGATACTCTTTATAAATAGAGGTCAACCCCTCTTTCACTACCTATTAGAAAACCCTAGCGTATTCTGCCTCTTGAATACGTGGTAACGGTAGATGTCTCATCAGTCAAGTTCTCCGAGCTGTGAGAGCGCGTAACTAGTGGATCATGAAAGTTGGTCTCAGGCTTAATCACCGTTTGTTATCGTTGCTGAATCCATGAAGTTTAACGGTACACTTTCTTAAACTCTAACTCTAAATTAATTGTGTAATCGTATCTTAATCTCTGCTATGACTAGGAATTAATTATCTTACCGATAGTACCAAATTTGATATGTCCGGCAAATCTTTGCGAACAATTGAACAACATATACAAGTTTTGCCTTTTCAAAAGAACTTGTGAACAATTTAGATAGGCTGAGTAAAAATAGTACAAGTTTTGCTGTTAGATAAAACTTTGCGTAGTGGGAATGTGGTCACTATGATAATAGGGTGGCATTGGAGGTAGGGGTCGGAAACTGTTGAATATTGACAAAGCTAAGACCCCTAATCTAAAGATTAGGATTCCAATAGAAGAGCACCTGATTGATGAATATGCCACTGATCAATTGGATGCTTGTGATATGTTGATTATAAGAGACGAATCCAGAATTTAAATACTATGGGTTCAACTTTTAAAGTTTTAGTATTGAACACATTATATTTTTAAAGTTACGAGTTCCTATCTACTATTTTAATGAATTTTTATATATAACTTTTTACTCCATATCAAAAGTTATGGGTTCAGTTGAACCCAGTGGCGAAGCCAAGAATTTTTCTTAGGATATTCAAACTTGAAAGAAATAAAAAAAAATCTCCGACAAATGGTGTTCAATATATGTTGTATACCTGTAAAACCTAATATTTTATTTATATGTGCAGTGTTTTTTGAAGAAGGATGGTCAATTAACCACCCTAACTATAGTGTAGCTTCACCCATGGTTGAACCCGTCAGAGAAACACTACATCCGTCTCTGCTGATTATTGTGTTCTAGGGACTGTTTGAACTTTTCGTAGTGGCATTAACATGGTCCCATGCTCAACCTGGGTTTTTTTTGATAGAACTTAGAGGAATCTGGCCAAGCAGGAAATTCCAGTATATGTATTTGTGTAAAAACTATTTTGCTTCATTAAGTTATCCTTGCAGGAACATCATATGCTTGAGCACTTCTTTAGATGGGGTTCATGACACCATTTACTGGCAGGTTTATTTTATTTGGACATTAGGATTTCTACATGTATTCATGACTAGAATGATGGAACGTGCTACTAGCATTGGCATGATCTTGTTTTATACATCACCAGATCCTCTTCTAGTGGTACCAACATGTTTACATGCTTATTGTAGTGTGATGGTTTGGTGGTGTATGGAGCTTTTAGTGCACACAATCATTTCATGGAGTACATTGAGATAGAGGGAATTCTTTAGTCCTATGCATATGGCTATTTATGGATTAGTAGTCATTATTACAGGATGTTAAAGAAGATATTACACACTTGTTTGATTGAAATGAGGCATTCATGGATCTCATATAGCTCATACATGATCACATGAACTGTCCTCATTCAAAATGGTATATGGACATTACTTTGTTTGATTTCTGGTTGTGAAACTTTGGGGCCTGATGAGAGCATTGAAGTGCTGCGGGATGGTTTAATTTCAATCCTTAGTTTGTGGATGTATAGGCACTGGATCAGACATGGAGAAGTCTGTTTCCTTGGATATAGTTATTAGCTTAGTTCATGTCATTTTCCCTAGCTTAGTTTATTACTTTGCATTTAGAGCAAATTATATTTTTGTTTACCCTAAAATTCGAGTAACAATTAAACTTGTAATGGGTTTTAGGGATACGCGATTTCACTTAATACCAATTGATTAATTTAGGGATAAGCGATGAAATTGACAAGAATATAAAACAATAATTAAAGAGTAATGAACTGATGAGTAGAAGAAAGAAAGAAATATTATATTGTCTTGACCTGTACGAGTGTAAGCCCTTTACAAAAGATGGGGACCTCTCTTTATATACTAGAGGAATCCTAATTGTGATACAATTCTAATTACGGGAGTAAATCCCATGATTGATACAAGTGCCCTTGATTTATTCCGTTCCGAGATTTTCGCCGTGATCTCCGACCGGATATACATATTTCGCCGTTATTGTGCTCCGCTCGAAGATGGTCCTATCCGGTCTCGATCGTCGGGGACCTCGATCTCAACGGGTGCCTCGATCCCCAAAATCGACACCTTATCTCCGTTCTCAGGTCTGACCCTCGATGCAGTTCTTTGATCTCGAAATAATGACAAAATCGGGCAAGCCCGATTTTACCCGTATATAGATAGTCCCCTCGTTTCTTAGAGTGTAATGAAAAGAAACGAACCGAGTCTTGGATTTCATACATCGACCAATTGTAACGTCATCTTCGTGATGTAAGCGATGGAGGCGACCGAAGCGTCGCATCTGCATAGTTCTCAAAGTCATTAATTAGTGCCAGATGATGGTCGGCCACTGATACCCTTGAACCGTATTTGCAATATTATAAATAGATTCTCTTCATAATCTTCTCAAACTTTACTTTCAAAACCTTTCTTAACCTTCAAAGCTTTCCTACTTTCTTCAAGTTTCTCAATTTTGCAAATTCTTCGGAATCTGTTTGCCAATCCTTTCCTAAAACAACAAGCTTCATCTTCTTCTTTCTCTGGACACATATAAAAATGGCGAAAACATCTAAAACTGTTCCTCAAAAGGAACAAACCTCTTCATCGCAGATGCCCGGCGATAAAACGCCGGTGGAGCCACGCATCGAGGAGTGCGTTCCTGGGTCGTGCGACCTTACTTCTGATTTTAAAGTTGAGAAACCTCGTCAGTCCCTGGCCGATATGAGCCCATGACGAGGTATATATGCTCGATGACAGAGGGCGATCTCGAGCAGGTGAAAAGGACTGCCATTGGAAAAATGCAGAGGTGGTGATTCTTACCCCCAAGGAGGATATCACTACTTACGTGGAAGGGTTTTTAAGTGTTTACACTTATCCTTTCATGCTGGGTCCCGTCGATCCCGTAATCATCAACTTCTGCCGCCAATACAAAATAACCCTAGGCCAAATCCACATTTCTTTTTGACGCATAGTGATTTTGTTCCGATTTTTTGTGAGCGAGGTAGAGGGGATGTCTTTCACCCTCGACCATCTCATTAGATTGTACAGCCCCCGTCTTTACCGAGGCGGATTAATAAGGCTTCAACGTCGGCCACAAAGGTGTTGTTCTCGAGTACAAACGTGCCTAAGGATCGGGGATGGATGAGTCGGTTTGTTTGAGTGAGGACCTCTGAAATAATCTCGCCTGAGAAGATGTCATTCCCCGAGAAATGGAACATGAAGCATAAGTAGAACTTACTCATAGTTTTTATTTGTTGTTTTGTTTCTTTTGCCTTTTTTCATCCACATCTCTTCTTATGATGTAGCGGTTCCCTGGGTGTATGGTGCAATCCCAGACCTCGAAGGCTGGGTTTGGAAGCTGGCCTCGACCTCTTCGTACTTTGAACGATGTTGGCGTGATTTGGCAAGGGGCTGATGGGAGGCCAAGAATAACGGTAAGATTACCTTATACGCTATTGGTGCCCTTCTTCAAAGTGTCTCTTTTCACTTGTACTTAATCTCCTTTTATACATGTCTCGGAGATGTTTCCGAAATGAGTCCGGCCCCGCCCGGGGAAGAGGAGGCCCCGAAACCATCTAAGGATAAGAAGAGAAAAAGGGTTTCGATCTCCGAGACTTCGAAACCAAAGAAGAGTAAGACTCACAAGCCAAAGAATGACGTCGCTGTCCTATCTGAGGATGCATTTCTCTGGCTACGAGATGAAGAAGAAGAGGAACATGAAGATGGTGACTTCAGGTTGGTGGCTCGAAATAAGAGCGCAAAGGCCATTGAGCCGGCTATGATTGAAGAAGTTCAGCCTCGAGTTGAGGAGGGCCTGGAAGATGCCTCAAGCAGAGTACCCAAGTCAGCGGGGGCTGACGTTGCCTCTCATCGAGATGCGCAATCGGTGGACGTATCCGAAAGGGCCAGTTCTGAGGCCCTTCGAAAAGGAGAGAGTGCCCCAAGTGACTTACTTGGGGCAATCAATATTGATTCGTCTTCCGATGCTGTATTTTCTGAAGGAAAATTTTGGGAGGCATAGTCTATGGAGATCCCCGATGTGGGAATGGCCCATGAAGGGGAGGACATATTCCGTGGCTGCCTTGCTGGGGTCGATGACGTTTCTGACCTAGATGCAGCGATCATTTTTTTATGAGGCTCAGCGACTCCTGCACCAGGTAAATTCATCCTCCGTTATTATGTTTGCTTTTATTCCCTTCAGTCTGATTTCCTTCCTTTCTCCATAGGCTGTGATGCTTCATCGGGAAGCGTTCAACAAATCCCAAGCTCAGATAAACCGGTATGGGGCCGCTCTCAAGATGCTTACGGATGAGAAAGATGATCTCAAATGCCTCTATGTGCAAATGGTAGAGGAGATCAAGGACCTCCAAGCTGAATTAGCAACATCCCATAAGAAACAGACCGATCTCATCGAACAGGTAATGTAGATTTTCAGGAGCTTGACATATCAATTTGATATTGGTGATTAACACTTAGATCCTGCAGGTTCAACAGAAGGCTGAGAAAATCGAGCAACTTCGTGAGGAGGCAGAGATAAAAGATGTAGAGACTTTGGAGTGGAAGCAGAACATGGACCGCCTCGCCTCAGAGAAAGATACAGCCCGAGACCAGTTGTCTGCGGTTGAACGTCACCTCCAAAGCGTGAAAAAGGAGAGCCTGGCCCGAGACAAAAAAATTGAGGATCTTGAGGCTCGGTTGGCCGCTGAGCTTGCAAAGACCGCTTCTGTAGCGGAAAGAGCAAAGGCTGATGCGTAAGCGTCTATTAAGCCGATGCTGAAGCTGCTCATGCTCGAGCAAAAGAGATTTCCGATGTTGCTCAGGCTCGAGTACTTCATGTTGTCGAGCATGCTAAATCCCAATCTCGGAGTAAGTTCTTATTCAAATTCGAGACAGTGGGACCCTTAGGTTCGAATCGAGTGAGAACATGTTCTTGAACTCAAAATGTATTGGCCCTTAGGTTCTTTGAATTGGGCCGATATGGCCTCTACATGATGGCTATCTTTTCCCTCTTTTGGCTCAAAGACTTAGTAAAATTTTCTTATGCCTTAGCATGTGTTTTCTGTACCCATTGGTTTTTTTAGGGTTTAGTGTTGATCGAAACCCCTTTGTTTTTTGTGCCTTAGCACAAGTTTGTATTTGAATAGTACCTCTTAAGGTTTGTCGAGGGCTGATTTTATCAGAGCCCTTTGATTATTTTGACGAGGATAGCCTTTTAAAACCGGTTTTTAGAGAACTCGAAGGCCTGTTTAATTACGGAATTTGGACGTCTCCGAATCGTGATAGTTTGGCCGTAGCCTTTAACTTGATATTTTCCCACTGGGCTTCTTTCTCGATTATACTTCAAACTTGTTCGAAGTATCAGTCCCCGAGTGGGGTGGCTGTGGCCTTATAAAATCAAGGATTGCCTTTTTAAGGTCTTAAGATTAACAATTTGTGCATGTCGATTTTCGAACGACAGTCCCTGAGTACGAGGTTAATTTCTCGAGCTTTAGTTGCGATTGGCTCTTGAGCCGATTTCCGTGGAATGTCGTAGGTACGAAATTGTAAAGTAAAAATTTCACTAAGGCATGGAACATATGATAAGGAAAAAGTGCTTCTTTCAATATATCGTTCATGCATACATGTTTTGTCATTAGGGCTCGGGAAATCCACATGGGCATGGTTTATTTGACCGTTTGACCCTTTACAAAATTTTCCTATCCCTATTGATACGAAACATCTTTTCTGAAAACATAAAATCAGAGGGTGATGCCCCCCGGTATTCGAGGTTGATTGTAAAGAAGCCTCGAATACTTGAGTTGTCCCCAGGTAGCACATACAATTGTTGACTCGTTAAAAACCTCGCCGGAAAAAACCATTTGGGATAAAAACCTATCTAAGGGAAAAAGAGTGCAACACGTACTTTAAAACCTAAGGTCCTCGTGTTGAAGAGCTTCTCGACGTCTTCGATCGAACACCTGCAATAAGTTAGCATCAGATACAAATGAAAAGGGAGAAAGTCATACGTTAGCAATAATATCGTTTGAGGAGTGATATGTTCCAATTGTTCGGCAATTGTTCGCCCTCCATTGTGCCAAGTTTGTAAGATCCCTTTCGATGACGCCGAGGACTTGGTATGGTCCTTCCCAATTTGGGCCGAGATTCCCTTCGTTAGGTTCTCGAGTATTGAGGGTGACTTTCCTCAGGACTAAGTCCCCTATTTTGAAGTATCGAAGATTGGGCCTTCGATTATAATATCTTTGGATTCGCTGTTTCTAGGTGGCCATCAAACGAGGGCAGCTTCCTATTTTTCGTCTAATAATTCGAGGCTTATGCTCATAGCCTCGTGGTTCGATTCTTCTGTTGTGTATCGAAACCTGACGTTTGGTTCCCCAACTTCGATCGGGATCAAAGCTTCGGCGCCATATACTAAGAAGAACGGCATTGCCCCCGTACTGGATTTTGTCGTTGTTCGATATGCCCAGAGGACTTCGGGAAAAATTTCTCTCCATTTCACCTTAGCATTGTTCAACATTTTCTTTAGGTTTTGAATGATGGTCTTGTTCTTCAATTCGGCATGTCCGTTCCCAGTAGGATGATATGGCGTAGATAATATCGTTTTTATTTTGTAATCCTCGAGGAACTTTGTTACTTTACTGCCGATAAATTGTTTTCCATTGTCGCACAGTATCTCGGCGGGTATCTTGAATCGGCATACAATGTGATCCCAGATGAAGTCTATTACTTCTTTCTCTCTGACTTTCTTCAAAGCCTGTGCCTCAACCAATTTAGAGAAATAGTCGGTCATAAATAAAATGAACTTAGCTTTACCTGGAGCCGATGGCAGAGGGCCGACGATATCCATCCCCTATTTCATGAATGGCCATGAGGATATGACCGAAAGAAGTTGTTCTCCGGGCTGATGGATCATTGGTGCATACCTTTGGCATTTATCACATTTTCAAACAAACTCCTTAGTGTCTTTTTCCATACTATCCCAATAGTATCCTGCTCTGATGATTTTGTGAACTAGTGATTCAGCACCGGAGTGGTTCCCACAAGTACCTTCATGGACTTCCCGTAGAACATAATTGGTGTCCCTTGGTCCCAAACATATCGCTAATGGTCCGTCGAACATTCTTCTGTACAATGTTCCATCGTCAGCCAATGTGAATCAAGCAACTTTTGTTCGTAAGGTCCTTGATACTTTAGGGTTCGATGGGAGCTTTTCATTTTTCAAGTACTCCGTATATTTATTCATCCAATCCTAAGTTAGGCTCATGGAGTTTATTTCGGCGTGGCCTTCTTCGACCACCAATTTTGAAAAATGTACAACAGTCCCCAAGCTAATTTCATCATCTTCGACTGATGACCCTAAGGTTGCAAGGGCGTTGTTAATATCCAATTTTTCCCTATATATTTTCAATATGCAAAATACCCTTCAAAATAGCATATGTATACATATATAAGTATGTCCAAATGTTTTATTATTCTTCCTTAATTTTTAAAGGGTTTTAAATTAATTTATTCCCCTAATTTGTCCATAAAAATCCAATAATTATTTCCAAAATTATTATTTGGTAATTCCTTTATTGTAATTTCATATTTAGGCTAAAATATAGCTAAGGTAATTTTTTTGCATATTTTAACAAACTTATTTAGTATTTTCAAAGCTAAATTGCATATAATCGCAATATTAGCCTCTTTTAAGATTTAATTGCATTTATATTCATAAATATTAAGTCCAGTATTTTTAAATGGTTAATTATATATTATAAGTCATTTTAGTGCTTTTAATTTATTTTTAGAAATTAATTTACTATTTTTTATAATTCTTAAAAGGGGAAAATTGGCTATTTAAATAATAGCCCAATTGCATTTCAATTGTAGCCTAAATTGAACCCCAAATCAGATCCAATATCCCCCGGCCCAATTTCGTTTAAACCTGACCCCTAACCTATTTAAACGACCCAACCCGGATTCACACCTAACCCCTTTAATCCCAGCCGTTGATCATTTAGATCAACGACCCCCATTACCCCTTACCTTTTTAACCCCAAACGACCCCTTACCCTACTTTATTTCTCACCAACTGCCGCCTCTGAATCCATTTTCTCTCTCAACTCTCTCTGAAACCTCATGAACCCTAGCCGCCGCCATCTATCCCCACCCTAATCCGCCCTAAACTCCGCCTAATCCATGGCCTCCCATGGCCATTGGAGATGTGTAATGGCCTCCTATGGCTCCTGGGTGTTTGTTTTTATGGTTTCATGGCCAGTCCTCGAAGGAATCTGGTCCTGTCCTTGCTCGACTGCTATTCATGGCTTTTCTCCGGCCATCCATGGCCTTTAAGGCAGATCCTTGACTTTCCTGGTTAGATCGGAAACTTTCAAGGCCTTTCTCACCTCTTCTGGGTTTTCGAAACCCTAATCTTTAAGACCTTTTGATTTTCTTTCAGAACTACTTTAGATCTATACTTGCTATGAATGTTTTAAGTGTTTTTCTCGAAAGTTCTTCAACTTTCCTTTCAAAACGACTTTTCGTTAAGGTTTTCCTTTAAGTTTTTCAAAAGATCTCTTCTCAGATTTTTAATGTTGTTTGTGATTCTGCTATGTTTTGCTCATGTTTTTCTTCTATCTGAGTCAGCATGTTGAAAACCCTAATTCTTTTTGGTCTCCTTCGAGCTTTGAAACTGTTTGTTTTGTGTACTGGTTCGATTAAGTTCCTCATTCTTGTTTGACTTATTTGTTTTACCATCTTTTGAACTCGATTATTGTTGAAAACCCTAGGTCTTTGGTTCTGAGATTGTTTGTTTGAATACTTGACTCGATTTAAGGTTCCTTGTTTCAGACTCTTTTTTTTATGTGATTCATCTAATTCTGAGTTTTACCATCTTTTAAACTCGACCATTGTTGAAACCCTGATTTCTCAAAAGGTTTCCTCACTTGTTACCGTGAGACCTGTATTTGTTTTGACTCTCTTCTTCACTTTGTCTATACGTGTGAGCCCTGACTATCTATCTTTGTTCACTACCGAATCCTATGCTTATTTCTGTTACTATTGTATGCTGTTTCTTTTGCCAATATGCTTGGCCTCACATGTCTGATGTTTCTGTTCACTCTATTTATATACTGAAGTATAGAAGCATGTTTCTTCCTTGATTGACCTTGATTTTGTGACTGATTTCAAAAGCTTTTCTTATATGAGCCCTGATTTCACTAGCCTGTTAATTGATTCCTTTCCCTTTACTGTGATGTTTTACCTTGCTGAATCCTTTCCAAAACTAAGCATATTTTTGTACTCAGACTTGATTGTTCACTGCATGCTTTTACTATCCCCTATATGGCAATAATCAAACTAATTTCTTTCCTTATTTGAACCTATTACTACCCGTTAATCAGTGATTCCTTAATTAAAGGGAATCACTTGTGTAATTGATTCTGACTTATGATTGTTTCTATATTTGTGTTAAGGCTTTACTTATTACCTTATTCTTCACCTGTTTTCAGAACTATAAATATCCATTTTCTTTTCTTTCAAACGAAGAACGAACCATCTGAGTTCAGAACACACACTTCACTCAAAACTCTCTCTCTTTTCTCTACTACTCCTTGTGCTACCGCTTTGCCTAGCCGCCTGAAAACCAAGGCTAGGCTGTGGAAATTTGCTCACTTTTTCTTTCTGCACTTTGCTTCTTACTGGTATGTCCTAGTTAATCTTCAAGCATCAACAACAACTTGTTTCTTTAATTGTCCCAACTTTTCTTATTCTTGTCT